CACAAATATTCATTCTTCTTTATCCTAATATAGTTTATCTCCATCAAAGTTGTGTTTTTAAGTTTTCCATGCTAATTCCTTCATGTAATTAATCATCAATTTAAAATGAATAGCAAGAAGAGAAATCACCTGTATGTCTGGACATTGTCTAATACAATCATTTCTGATTCAATGAGTTCTTGATTACTTAGAAGAGGCATGTACAATTTTTGGATTTTCTCATATATTTTTTTCTCCTCTTCTTTCCTCTTATTCACTTCTGAGCAATTTCATCTTTTACTAACAATGGTAGCATAGATGAAAAACGTAAAAATTGCAAGAATATTTTCTCTTAGGGATAAATGTATCACATAGTACATGCTATGTTGTCAGAGTTGACTAAAGAAGAAAAGTATTTTCAATCAGCTGCCATGGGCCACACTTGTAATCCTAGCACTTTGGGAAGCTGAGGTGAGCCCAGGAGTTTGAGACCAGTCTAGGCAACATGGTGAAACTTTATCTCTACAAAAATTACAAAAATTAGCTGGGCATGCTGGTGTACACCTGTGATCCCAGCTACTTGGGAGGCTGAGGTGGGATGATAGCTTAAGTCTGGGGGTCAAAATTGTACTGAGCCATGATCATGCCACTGCACTCCAGCCTGAGCAACAGAGCAAGACCTTATCTCAAAAAGAAAAAAGTCTTTTCATATAAAATATGATTTCAAGTAGATTTAAGCTAGTCATGCATTTATTCATGAAAAAGTACTGAACAATTACAAATAAATGTTGTGTGGGAAAGTGACTCCTAATTCTTAATGATCAAGTTTCTGTAGCACCCCCCCTCATGTTTTAACTGTTTTAGACAATTGGCCACATATGCATTTCGTGATGAAACAAACATGGGTTATATCTTTATTTATTTATTTTTACTTATTTATTTTTTTCTTTAAGATGGAGTCTCACTCCAGGCTGGAGTGCAGTGGCACAATCTTGGCTCACTACAACCTCCGACTCCCAGGTTCAAGCGATTCTCCTGCCTCAGCCTCCTAAGTAGCTGGGATTACAGGTGCCTGCCACCACATCCAGCTCATTTTGGTATTTTTAGTAGAGATGGGGTTTCACCATGTTGGCCGGGCTGGTCTTGAACTCCTGACCTCAGGTGATTCACCCACCTTGGCCTCCCAATGTGCTGGGATTACAAGCATGAGCCACCATACCTGGCTAGTTATGTCTTTCTTGATTCTAATCAGTACATACATAATTTTGCATAGATATATTGATTAGGGAGGCATTTTTGAAGGGCAGGTAGTGGAGAGGCTGGGATGTTAGGTAATAGGAGTTCTATAGGATTCCATACTTCGGCCTATAATGAACATTGTAGCCTACTAAGCACTTATATAAACCTTCCAACTTGACTCCAATATTTGTTCTTCTAGCCACTCCCTCCCCTCTAAGCTAATGTACTCTGCAGCCAATGTACTTAGGGAGAAACTAATCCCATGCTGAGTTCTAGGAATGCACCTTATTTTCCAGGAATGAATCCACATCCTTTCCAGTAAGGGGCTCTGGGGTCCAGGTGTAAGTGCCATGTGGTTGGTCTAGGAATGGGCCAATGAGACACCGTGAGGAAGTTTGCTGAGGGCTTCTAGGAATTTGCCCATAATAGAAAGCTATCAGAATTCACAGACTCTTTTCATTTTGACTTTCTTGTCCATGGACATGAGGCTGGTGACTGTGGCAGCCATTTTGTAGGAAGCTTAAGGGTGAAGCCTGCTCAAGAGAGGCAAAGGCCACCACAAAGAACCAGAGCTCAGTAATGCCTGGGCCCTGCCTTACCTCTACCATTTCTAGACCTTCTCAGTCTCTTAGCCAATTAACGGGCTTGATTTTAAAGCACTTTTTAATTGAGTTTCTGTTTCTGGAACCCAAAACAAACATTTTAACCTATGTAATCCCAATTTATACTTCCTCAATGTTTTTGTTTGCTAATCTTTAAAAGTTTCAGAATTCTTTTCTGATTATAAAAATAATACATGCTCATTGTAGAGAACCAAGAAAACCTTGAAAGATACAAAGAAGATTAAAACCATCCGTAATCTCATTATCCCTAGATAACTGCTATTGAGTTTTGAGTTAGTTTCCTCTTTATCCAAACTTACACAGAAATTTTACATATATACTTATCCTGCTTTAATGAAATTCACAGCCTAGTGGGAAATAGAAACAAACCAAAAAAACCAGACAAAGAGATGAATACTTTGATTATGGAAGGTTATAATAACTATTAACCTGTGTTCACTGTTTTTGGGTCAATGTTGCTAATCATGTTATACCCCATCTCCACAACCCAGAAGAAATCATCAAAGAGTTTATGTTAATAACTATTAAAATATAACAGTGTCTCATAATGCCACAAAATCAACCAGTTACCAATATGCCCATTTGGTTTCCCTTCAGTAGGTAGTATTTTTTTATATTAAGTTGTCCCGTCAGTGACTGGTTTTGCTCAACTGTCATTAGGTCTTGTCACAATAGTTTAGTTACAGCAAAAACAAGTGTCTTATATTATTTTGATGAAACACACATGAAAGGTTCAGAATTCATCAGTGTGCTGGGTAAAAACCCTCAGAGCAGGGCCTTCAAGAGGATGGAAGTTATATTGCTATGATAGTACCAAGCTCATCAGTTCTAAATGTTTTCTAATTTCTATTATTATTTTATGACCCATGAATTAATTGGAATAGCAGAAATATGGGGCTTACCAGTTATCTTTGGTTATTCTTTTTTTTTTTTTTTTGAGACTGAGTCTCTCTCTGTCACCCAGGTCGTAGTGCAGTAGCGCGATCTCGGCTCACTGCAACCTCCACTTCCCAGGTTCAAGCAATTCCCCTGTCCCCTGCCTCAGCCACCCGAGTAGCTGGGATTACAGGCACATGCCACCATGCCCGGCCAATTTCTTTTGTATTTTTAGTAGAGATGGGGCTTCACTATGTCGGCCAGACTGGTCTTGAACACCTGACCTCAGGCCATCCGCCCACCTCGGCCTCCCGAAGTGCTGGGATTACAGGGGGAAGTCACTGCACCTGGCCTGGTTATTGATTTTTAACTTACCTATTTAGTGAGCAGAAAATATAGTTGCTATGATATAAATCCTTAGATATGTAACGATTTGCTTTATGGCACAGTATGTTCAATTTTTAGAAATGTTTAGCATATTCTTGAATGGAGTATGTATTCTATGGTCATTAAGGCAATATTCCACATGTATATGTTAGATTAAGCTTGGTAATTGTGCTTTTGATCTATTCCAATCCTTTAAAGATTTTTTGGTCCCCTCGATCTAGGTATTGTTTCCTGTAATCAGCTGCTTAACAAATTATCACAACAGGTGGCTTAGAAAAACCAACATGAATTCTCAGTTCTGGAATCTAGAAGTCTGAAATGAATTGTTGGCAGGGTCACGCTCCCTCTGGAGGTTCAAGAGGAGAATTTTTCTCTTTCAGCTTTGGGTGGCTGAGAGCTTTCCTTGTCTTGTGAATGCCATCGGTCCAATCTCTGCTTTTGTGGTTCCATTATCTCCTCCTCTTCTCTGTGTCTTCTCTTCTACTTCTCTTTTATGAGGACACCTGTCATTGGATTGATGGCCCATCTGGATAATCCAGGATAATCTTCTTATCTCAAGTACTTTACATCCACAAACACCCTTTTCCCAAAAAAGGTCATACTCACAAGTTCTAGGGATTAGGACATGGACATACCTTGTGGGAGGCCGTATTCAACGCACAGCAGTTAGAGAGGGAGTGAATTTGAGTTATTCATGCGTGTTTTTAAAATTCCTTTATGTTTGTATGCACAAACCAAAAATGTAGGTGAAAAATCACCTACTCCAATGGTAGATTTCTCTGTCTTCTTATACTTCGGTCCATTTTTGCTTTATATATTTTGTGGCTATATGGTTGCTATGATATAAATCCTTAGATATGTAGAGGCTCGCTTTATGACACAGTATATGCAATTAGAGACACCTTTTTTGACTCTATCTTCCCTGTATACTGGATTTTGTTCATGTAAAGACTTCTTTATCTCATCACACTCACTCACCAATCTACCTAGAAAATGTCTGCTGATGATAAACCGTCAGTTTTTTTTCTCAAACAGAATTTGCCTTCCTTCTTCTGCTTTTCTTTTTGCCACACATGGAATTCTACGGTTTTGTTTTCCCCTTCAACGTAACACTTCATTCTCTTTTCTTTCTTTCTTTCTTTTTTTTTTTTTTTGGAAACAGAGTCTCACATTGTCACCCAGGTTAGAATGCAGTGGTGTGATCTCGGCTCACTGCAGCCTCGACCTCCAGGGCTCAAGTGATTCTCCCACCTCATCCTCTGGAGAAGTTGGGACCACAAGCACGTGCCACCATGCCCGGCTAACTTTTTGTGGAGATGGGTTCTTGCTATGTTGGTCAGGCTGGTCTCGAATTCCTGGGATCAAGCGGTCCTCCCGTTTCGGCTTCCAAAAATGGAGGGATTACAGGCCTGAGCCACCGCGCCCAGCTGGCATTTTTAAAAGTTGGATTACTGGCCTCAGTGCATACAGGCGTAAAGGAATTTTAAAAACACGCAGGAATAACTCAAACACATTTCTTTTTTGCGCCATCCTGCTTTGTGTGATTCGGTTTTTATACTCGGTTTTGTGCGTTTGGGTCGCGACGGCTGGGGACCGACCAAAGAGCAGTCCGACGACGGGTCGCCCAGGACGGTCCCATCCGTGTATAACCTGCGACCCCGGGGCCTCTTGTGGCCCGGTATCTTCGTTCCAAGCAAAAGCCGAGGCTCCCAGGCATTCAGAGGTGCAATGGCCTGATAGACCTGGAGAGCGCGAGAACACCTCCAATAAGGCTGGCCAGTCCACAGCGACTTCACTGACCGCCGTGCGCGCGTCCTCAGGAGCCGGCAGACTCCCCGTTGTCTTGGTAACCAGAATGCGAAGGCGCGTGCGCAGGACAAACACCTTTGTCACGTGAGGCCGGGCCGGGGGCGGGGCCGGCGAATGCCCGTCCGGACCCGTCGCTCCTCCCTTATCGGCTCCCGGCCAGCCGAGGCGGGGCGAACCTCTGCCCTGTGGCGTGGGAGTGATTCACAGCTCCCTCCCCTTTTCGCTCAGCTTTCTCGCCACCACGTGCCCTTCTGGCCGCGCCCCCAGCTGCCCTTTCCAACTGCCTGTTGGAAGCCGCTGTAAAATGTCGTGAGGGGAGCCGCTGCTTTACGGCTGCCTCTCCCAGACTAGAGACCCGGAGCGCCCACCGCCGTCAGCCGCGTTTCCTAGTGAGTTGGCCCCGCGGTGAGCGAGAAACCCTGCGCGTCGCAGCCCTCCCCGCTGCGCCCGTTCCTGCCCCCGGCGATGTGAGCTCGGGGAGGCAGCGGTGCCCGCTGGCTCGGGGTTGAGACGGGCGGCAGGTGCCTGTGAGGCGGGCGGGTGCCGGGGGCCAGCAGGATGGAGGAAAGCATGGAAGAGGAGGAGGGGGGCAGCTACGAGGCGATGATGGACGACCAGAACCACAACAACTGGGAGGCCGCCTTGGACGGCTTCCGGCAACCCCCGCCACCCCCACCACCTTCCTCGTCTATCCCGGCCCCTGCCCGAGAGCCTCCGGGGGGGCAGCTGCTGGCGGTGCCCGCGGTCTCCGTGGACAGGAAAGGCCCCAAGGAGGGGCTCCCGATGGGTCCGCCGCCACCGCCGGAGGCCAATGGGGTGATCATGATGTTGAAGAGCTGCGACGCGGCCGCCGCCGTGGCCAAGGCGGCCCCCGCCCCCACTGCCAGCTCCACCATCAACATCAACACCTCCACCTCCAAGTTCTGTGAGTCCAGCCTTTCCCAGCAGCCTTGGCTTTTCTCCACCCCACTCGGACGCCGAATTCACCCCCTTTTGGAGCAAGCCCCGCTTCCTTTGTTTCAGGCCTCGGTCTTTCCTCTTCTCCCGGTCCCCCTTCCTCCCTCTCTCCGTCCCCTCCCCCTCATTTGGTGTCTGCGGCCAGCGCCTGAGCGGCCCTGGCTTCTTGTATTACCTGGCCTAGAGAGGCAGCCTGGTACACACGCAGCCCCAAGTTCTACCAACACGATCCTTAGCACAACTGGCTGGCTCAACATTGCGAAGCTCTTTTCGCACCGGTCTTCTCTTGAAGTTTCACCCTCAAAGTGAGAGGAAAATGAGGCTGCCTGAGTCTCGTTAGGGAAAGGCCTTCAGTCTTTTGCAGCCGGAGAGAGAAAAATTTGGCCACTTGTGTTCTTGTGCTTTTGTCCAGGCTGTGTTAAAGAAATCGGGAATTTGGGAGTTGACCTATATCTGCAGCTTGTTCTTCCTCTTCTGTGTTACACCTTTGCATCCTGCTAGGGAAATGTATGAGTTGCTTTCCGATCCAGTGGCAGCTCCGACATCGTTTTGAAGCTAATAATGCATAAAATCACTTTCAGAGCTTACACTCCTAAGAATAAGCCTTTCAGGATGGGTTAAGTCTTGTGTCCAAACCCAAGATTGGGTTGCTTATTGAACTTTATGTTAGTGATCTGTCCTAACGCTCAATTGTACGCAGAATTTAAGACCAAAATCTGTTTTGTAAAATGAATGTGACCATCACAGCCAGGGTTTTCTCTCCTATTATTAACTGCAAGTTTTGAATGGCATCTGGTAAAGCAACTGGAGAGTTCATTTCTAGTTACCAATTTTACCAACTGTCTTGTCCAATCAGCTGTGCAGAGAAAATATTTGCCTTGATGCCGATAGAGTCGGAATCTTACACACATTGTGGGAACAGCACATAATTTTAATTATTTGCCTCAAGATACTGCCTTAGTCAAAGACATTAATATGTAGGTTTGATTGGTAAGATTTATATATGCTTTTCCTCCTTATTCACGATAATAATGTTTATATTGTATATTTTGTGTGTTGAAGTCTGTGTTGTGGAACCACACCTTCTATAGAGTGGAAGAATGACTTACCTGAGTGATGAAGGAAGCTTGCTTTAGTAAAGTTCTTTCAAAAAACAGCATAAAGTTAGGAACAGAAATCAGTAAAATTGAGAACAGAAGGATCTGTCACACCACAATATTATTTTTTGAAAAGATTAATAAGCTAGGCAGACTTCTGATAAAATCGACAAGAAAAGATGCAAATAAATGAAAAATGGAAATTACAAATATTAGATTAAAAAATGAATGTTATGAACTTAGGTTGATAAATTTGAAAGCCTAATGAAAAGTATAATTCTTAGAAAACTATTAAATGTGAAAATTGGTATCATAAGAAATACCTTGAACTAATAAACTGAAATGGTAAAGATCTTCCCTTTTAGAAGCTCTGGATCCAGATACTCTTGTGAGTTCCATCACATTTTAATGCTTAATTCCCTTTGCAAGTTGTCCTGGAAAATAGCGAGAAAAATACCAACTTCATTTTATGGTAAAAACTCCTAGCAACCTAGGAATACAAAATAACTAGGTAAGGTCATTACCAAAATCCTACAGTAAATAATAATACTTAATGGAGAAATTTTAGTTACATATGCTTTTTAACATCAATAACCAGATAAGGATGCGCCTGTCATCACTACTGTTAAGCATTGTAAGAAGGTCCTGGCTAAATTATGAGGAACAAATAAATAAGGTATAAAGATTGTAAGGTAAGTGATAAAAGCTTATTATTTGCAGATAATATGATCACCTGCCTAGATGAAGTCTTAAAATCGAGAGAAAACTTAGAACTAGTAAGAATTTAGCAGGATTGCTGGACTTCAGAGAACTTAAAAAATTGATAGCATTTACTACACTAGTGGTAACTAGTAAAGCTAATCAAAAGTAAATACTGTAGGCAGTAATAGTAACAAAATCATGAAGTCTCTAGGAATTAACTAACCCATGAATACACAAGACCTTTAAGAATAAAACTTTATAAAGAAACGGGAAGATAATCTAAATAAATGGTACAATTTTCCTTGCTCTTGGATCAAATTATAAGAATACTAATTTTCTCCATTTTATAAATTCAGTTTAAATGCCATCAAAATTACATTTGGTTTGACAAACTCAGAAACCTAAGTCTAAAATTTATATGGTGGGTGGAATAAAGTTTGTAAATAACTAAATTAGTCTTAGAGATTTGTTTGGGGATGGGAGGCTTGCCTTATTAGAACTTAAGATGTCAAGGCTGTTGTAAAGTGGTATAAGTTCAAGAACAGAAAAATAGACCAAGGGCACAAATTGGAGGGCGGAGACTTACCTAGATAGATAAATATTTGGGAACTTTCTAAGTGGTATCATGAACCACTGGAGAAAGGAGTCATATGCTGTTAGGGAGAGTGACTCACTATATAGAGAAAAAATAAATTTAATATCATAAATGGATAGATTCTGAATTAAACACCTAAATGTGAAAAGAAAAACTAAATATTATAGAAAATGTTAAAGAAGTTCTTTCCCTAGGGACATGGAAGTTCTTTTTAAAGCTTCAGAAGCTTATAAAGGTGAAAAAAATAATGATTTTGATTTATGAAAATTAAGGATTTTCATTCAGCAAAAGACGAAAGAAAGAATTTATTTACAGTGCCCAAAATTGACAAGGGATTATCATCTGACTAAACAAGGGACTGCTATACATCTGTAATAAGAGGGCATCGACCTCTGTAGAAAAATAGGCAAAAGATATTAATAAGTAGTTTGTAGAGTAGAAAACTCTTAACAAGCATAAGAAGAGATAAAATTATTAATATTCAGAGACATGCGTATTAAAATAGTAATGGAAAAAGAGTATAATTGGATTGTTTGTAAAACAAAGGATAAGTGCTTGAGGTGATGGATACCCCATTTACCCTGAAGTATTATTACATATTGTATGCCTGTATCAGAATATCCATATACCTCATAAAAATATATGCTTGCTATATACCCACCAAAATTAAAGAATAAAAATAGTAATAGAATGTCTTTTTCCACCTGTTAGGTTGGTAAAAATTAGAAAGCTGAATTGTACCAAGTGCAGTGGAGATATGGTAATATAGGAAAACCTATACTTGCTTGTGGAAATAAGTGTAGTAGACTTGTGAGATGCTGAGATGCCCGAAGTCACTGTGGACCAGATAATGAAAGATAGCTGCCATGTTGATGTATCCCTGGGCTATGGAAGTGAAGGTATACTTTATACTGTAAGGTGAAAACAGCTTCTGTTGGTTTCTGGTTTTGGGACAGAGCAAAAAGGGATTTGTTACCTTGATGGATATTTGGTATGTACCAGGGATGATGTTGAGTTGTCACAGTGAACACACCACGTCTGGAACAGCAATTAAAATTGGTGTCACCTTGGATTTGATTGATGATAATCCACAGTCATGCTCCAAGACCTGTCTCTTGTGCTGGCCAGACAGGCTCATGAAATCAGAATGTCATCACCATTCCTATCTTTTAAGTCTCTGACATTGATAGTATTTTCTGTAGTTCCCACAAAGATGTGCTGTTTATTGGTTTGATTTTATTATTTTGGTAGGAAAGGGTTCGTCTAGGGGATTCAACTTGGCCCTTCCTATGTTCATATTCCTGACTTCATAGATCAGGGAGTCATGAACTTGTTTTCAGAACTGGGGAGTCGCAGTGTTACTACGGGTCCACCAGCCCTACTGTGAGATGGATTGAGGCCAAAACACCATTTACATGACATCCATAAGCCCCTGATCTGCCTGGTTTACCATAGTGAATTCCTGTCTCTTAGGGTTTGTACTGGCTTAAAGCCAGTATTTATTAATTCCTGAAAAGTCTCAGCGATTTTCATTTCCCAAATAGACTGTCTCCCTAATGAATACCTGCATATTGTATTGGAAAAGGCTAGGTGGAAGACTTTAATTACGCTCTTGAAGCAATTTTGTGGGTTTCTTGCTCAGTGGAACTCATCTTCTTTATTCCAGCGGTTCCGTGTCTGTGACCAGGCTCATTGTGGGTCTTAAGTGATGTTATATGGCTCTCCATTATGGACACTTAAGTGAGACCTCTGTTGAATATACCTAGAGTTTTTCTTTTCTGTCCATTATAACAGATCAAGTAATACCCCAGTATACTGCCTTTTTTCCCTAAGGACATCATGGTTAGCCACCATGAGATAGATCCAAGCCACCAGAAGTCCAAGCCATTCTGCTAATCACTCTGGCCCTGCAGCCTATTAAAATAAACATGCCCATTTTATATCTGGAAGTTATTCCCCATATCCTTTGTCACTCTGGAAATAGAACTATTCCACTGAAATCAGGGAACCCCTTTGAATGGCAGTATTACCCATCTTTAACCCTGAATTACAAGGGACTATCAACCACAGCATTTTTTTTTTCAATAGTTGTATTTAATTATTTGTATATTTCTCAGTTGGTGAAGGACCTTCTTAGAGCACAGTTTAGAGAGTGTGTAAGAGTTCGTTAGAACATGACAAATTTACATTCCTTTCTTCATATGTCTGGACTCATTTCTCCACATACTGAGGAATTTCTGTTCTGATTGCCTCCTGCCTCCTCTTCGTGCTTTTCCTCTCCTCTTTTTCCTCCATGTCCATTTTCTTCCTCTACACCTCTTCTCCTCCTCCTCCATTCAATAAAGTTTACCCATTTTAGGTGTGCAGTTAGATGCATTTTAACCCATGTAACTGTCTGGTCTGGGATTTGATTTTACCCTATAATGGCTAAAAGTTAGCCTATTAGTGCTACAGGTTGATATTCCTTATCTGAAATGCTTGGGACCACAAGCGTTTCGGATTTCAGTTTCTTTTTTCGGATTTGGGAATATTTGCATTATACCAAATGATTGAGCCTCCCAAATCAAAAAATTC